CTAGAAAATAAGACCAAGAAAGAAGATGCTGTATTTATTAAGAGTTTTGTGATTAACTTATATATAACCTTTTTTAACACGCAACAATACTATTTTTTCTCTATGTCCAGATACCATTTTTCTCCCTTCAAGGATGTTTTACTCTTACTTGATTTACAAAACAATTAGAGGTTAACAACAATACCAATAAAACTCATTATACATAGTTTTCCACCAAGAAAATCAAAGGATTTTCCCTTTGTTCATAAAACCAACACTACGTTGGGGTTGAGATTGAATGAGAAAAATTTAAAGTGTATTATCTATGCCTATGATTGTTTTCAGACCACTTAATCAGGTCAAAATTGAAAGTCAGCTATGGTTAATCAAGTTGTAAATCAAACAAGAACTTTTTCTACCAATATACATAAAAAGAAGTCCAGTAAAAATAGCTATATTTCTTTCATCCTAAAAATTAAATTCAAACCACATCTGCTAAAAGCAGGTACACAAGAAATAAGTAAACTTTTACTTTACTCAAGTTCTTTAGATTTACAGGACAGTTATACAAAAACAGTGTCCCATAATGTATGGAATGACCATGGAATTATTCCACTTATTAGAAACTACAGTCAGAAAAACACTTAAGAGAAAAGTCTACTAGTAAGGTACCAACCTATTAGGAAATCAATAACAAAAGGCCTATGAAATTAATCTATTCTTACTGAGTTAATCATGTGCACAGAAGAGCCATTAAACCAGGGGCAAAATTATATAAAAACAGTAAGAGACAAAATAGCAAAAGATTAAAATTTTCTAAGATCTAAATACTAATAACAAGTGTTAGGCTTAGAGTTTGTGACTCCTTTGAAAAATGATGAAAAACAAATTTGTGATCTACATGGGAGAACTCTTTCTTACTTACATAATTAAAAATAGCACTAACTGCTATTTATTAAACACAGCAAATGGTTGAATGTAATAATGCAAGTAGGGCACAGCTACCTGGCACAGTACATGGCATGCCCATTGTATAGATGAAGAGAAGAAAACTCTAAGAGTTTAAGTCGCATGTTCTCACAACTATTAAAAAGTGGATTTTTAAAAATCAACAAAATTGACAAGTCCTTAGCCAAATTAAGAGAGAGAGAGAGAGAGAGAGAGAAGGCTCTACTAAAATCAGAAATGAAAGAAGGGATAGTATAAGCAATGCCACAGAAATAGGATTATAAGAGAATCATATAAACAAATTAATACCAACAAATTGGATAACTTAGAAGACATGGATAAATTCCTAGAAATACACACCCTATCATGACTGAAGCATGAAGAAACAGAAAACCTGAACAGACATATAAGTAGTAAGGAGACTGGATAAATAATCAAAAACTTCCCAATAAAGAAAAGCTCAAGACTCCATGGCTTCACTGGAGACTTCTAGCAAACATATAAAGAATAATTAATAATAATCCATTTCAAACTCTTCCAAAAAACAAAAAAGTAAAGAGAGAATATGCCCAAACTCATTCTATAAGGCTACTATTACACTGATACAAAAGCCAGAGAAACACACTACAAGAACAGAAAACCATAAACAAATAATTCTGTTGCACATTAATGCAAAAATACTCAACAAAATACAGTCAGCCCTCCTTATCCACGGACTGCACACCTATGGATTCAACAAGCCATAGATTGAAAATATTCAGAAAAGAAAAAATTCCACAAATTTTCAAAAGAACTAAACTTGTATTTGCTACATGCTGGGTACTACATTTGAATCCACATAACTGAAATAATGTTTGGGCATTTTGCTAGGTATTATAAATAATATAGAGATGATTTAAAGTATATGGGAGGATATGCCTACATCATATGCAAACACTATATAGCATTTTATTTAAGGCATTTGAGTATCTGCAAATTTTTGGTGTCTGCAGAATTCCTGGAGCCAGTCTCTCATGTATACCAAGGGACTACGATGCTAGCAAATTAAATTTAACAGAACATTAAAAGGATTATATGCGGCCCATGGACGCCGCTGAAGAAGCATCGTTAAAGTCTCTCTTCTCCCTGCGATCATGTCTAAGTCAGAGTCTCCTAAAGAGCCGGAACAGCTGAGGAAGCTCTTCATTGGAGGGTTGAGCTTTGAAACAACCGATGAGAGCCTGAGGAGCCATTTTGAGCAATGGGGAACGCTCACAGACTGTGTGGTAATGAGAGATCCAAACACCAAGCCCTCCAGGGGCTTTGGGTTTGTCACGTATGCAACTGTGGAGGAAGTGGATGCAGCCATGAACGTAAGGCCACACAAAGTGGATGGAAGAGTTGTGGAACCAAAGAGAGCTGTCTCAAGAGAAGATTCTCAAAGACCAGGTGCCCACTTAACTGTGAAAAAAATATTCGTTGGTGGCATTAAAGAAGACACTGAAGAACATCACCTAAGAGATTATTTTGAACAGTATGGAAAAATTGAAGTGATTGAAATCATGACTGACAGAGGCAGTGGCAAGAAAAGGGGCTTTGCTTTTGTAACCTTTGATGACCATGACTCCGTGGATAAGATTGTCATTCAGAAATACCATACTGTGAATGGCCACAACTGTGAAGTTAGGAAAGCCCTGTCAAAGCAAGAGATGGCTAGTGCTTCATCCAGCCAAAGAGGTCGAAGTGGTTCTGGAAACTTTGGTGGTGGTCGTGGAGGTGGTTTCGGTGGGAATGACAACTTTGGTCGCGGAGGAAACTTCAGTGGTCGTGGTGGTTTTGGTGGCAGCCGTGGTGGTGGTGGATATGGTGGCAGTGGGGATGGCTATAATGGATTTGGTAATGATGGAGGCAATTTTGGAGGTGGTGGAAGCTACAAGGATTTTGGCAGTTACAACAATCAGTCTTCAAATTTTGGACTCATGAAGGGAGGAAACTTTGGAGGCAGAAGCTCTGGCCCCTATGGTGGTGGCAGCCAATACTTTGCCAAACCACGAAACCAAGGTGGCTATGGTGGTTCCATAGCAGTAGCTATGGCAGTGGCAGAAGATTTTAATTAGGAAACAAAGCTTAGCAGGAGAGGAGAGCCAGAGAAGTGACAGGGAAGCTACAGGTTACAACAGATTTGTGAACTCAGCCAAGCACAGTGGTGGCAGGGCCTAGCTGCTACAAAGAAGACATGATTTAGACAAATACTCATGTGTATGGTCAAAAAACTCAAGGACTGTATTTGTGACTAATTGTATAACAGGTTATTTTAGCTTCTGTTCTGTGGAAAGTGTAAAGCATTCCAACAAGGGGTTTTAATGTAGATTTTTTTTCTTTTTCTTTTTCTTTTTTTTTTTTGCACCCATGCTGTTGATTGCTAAATGTAATAGTCTGATCGTGACGCTGAATAAATGTCTTTTTTTTTAATGTGCTGTGTAAAGTTAGTCTACTCTGAAGCCATCTTGGTAAATTTCCCCAACAGTGTGAAGTTAGAATTCCTTCAGGGTGATGCCAGCTTCTATTTGGAATTTATATACAACCTGCTTGGGTGGAGAAGCCATTGTCTTCAGAAACCTTGGTGTAGTTGAACTAATAGTTACTGTTGTGACCTGAAGTTCACGATTAAAAGGGATTACCCAAGCAAAATCATGGAATTACTGGTTATAAAGACGATTGTTGGCACATCCTATGCAATATATCTAAATTGAGTAATGGTACCAGATAAAATTATAGATGGGAATGAAGCTTGTGTATCATCCATTATCATGTGTAATCAATAAACGATTTAATTCTCTTGAAAAAAAAGAAAAAAAAAAGGATTATATGCTACAACTAAATGGAATGTATTCCCAGATTTCAACATACTAAAATCAATCAATGTAATATACCACATTCATCAACGATACAAAGCACATTATCATCTCAACTGATGCAGAGAAAGCATGTGACAAAATTCAGCACCAATTCATGATTTAAAACAACAAAACTCAATCAACGAAGAACAAAAGGAAACTACCTCAACATAACAAAGAACCTAAATGAAAAGCGCACAGCTAACATACTAATTAGTGAAGAAAAACCCAAATTTTTTCCTCTAAGATCCAGAACAAGACAAGAATGCCCTCTCTCATCACTTCTATGCAACATAGCATTGGAATTCCTATCCAGAGCAATTAGGCAAGAAAATGAAATAAAAGACATCCAAATTAGAAAGGAAGAAGTATCATTATCTCTGTTCTCAGACTTGATGATCTTATATATAGAAAAATCTAAAGATAATATTAATAAAAATTGTTGGAACTAATAAAGGAATTCAGCAAAGTTACAGGATATCAAATCAACAGGTAAACTACATGCTAACAATAAACAATTCAAAAAGGAAACTAAGAAAACAATTCCATTTACAATCATGCCAAAAGAATGAAATAAGAGTAAAACAAAGAGGTAAAAAACTTATACTCTGGAAATTACAAAACATTGATTTAAAAAAATTAAAGAAAATAAATAGAAATGGAAAGACATTTGGAGTGTCTTTGAATGTCTAAATGAATCTTGAGAAAGAACAAAGTTTGAAGTCTCACACTTCTAAATTTCAAGCATATTTAAAAGCTACAGTACACACAAAGTAGTGTGGTACTTACATAAAGACAGAAATATAGAACAATAGAACAGAACGCCCCAAAATGAACCATTGCATGTATCGTCAGATGATTTTTGACAAAAGGTGACAAGACCACTCAATAGGGAAAGAATAATCTATTCAACAAATGGTGATGGGAAAAGTATATATATATATATATATATATATACACACACACACACATATATGCAAAAGAATAAACTTAGACCCTTACATTGTGCCATATACAAAAATTAACTCAAAATGAATTAAAGACCCAAAAGTAAGACCTAAAACTATAGAACTACTAGAAAAGAACACAGGAGAAAACTTCATGAGATTGAATTTGGCAAGGATTTCTTGGATATGATGCCAAAAGCACAGGCAGCAAAAGTAAAAATAGACAAATGGGAGTACAATTTCCGTGCACAAAAGGACACAGTCAACGTAGTGAAAAGGCAACATATGAATGGAAGAAAGTATCTGCAAATCATGTATCCAATAAGGAATATTATTATTCAGAAAGGACAAAGACAACAAAATAACTCAGCAACCACAAAGAAAACAACAAAATAACCTGATTTTAAAACGAACAAAGAACTTGAATATGCATTTCTCCTAAGATGATATACAGATGGGCAACAAGCATATGAAAAGCTGTTTGACATCACTAATCATTAGAGGAATGCACATCACAACCACTATGAGATATTACCTCACACTCATTAGAATGGTTACCACAAAAATATGACAAAATTAAAAGTGTTGGCTAGGATGTAGAGAAATTGGAACCCTTATGTACTGTGTATGGGAATGTAAAATGGTGCAGTCACTATTGAAACCATGGCAGTTCCTTCAAAAATTAAAAATTGAATTACTATGTGACCTAGCAATTCTACTTCTGGTATATATCCAAAAGAATTAAAAGCAGGATTTCATATAAATATTCACATACTGGTGCTCAGAGCAGAATTATTCACAATAGCCAAGAGGTGAAAGCAACTCAAATGTCCATCAATGGGTGAAAGGTCAGATACAGAAAATGTGGTATATATGAATAATGGGATATTATTCAACCTTAAAAAGGAGAAAAATTCTGTCTCAATGCTGCAACATGCATGAACCTTGAGGACATTATTCTAAGGGAAATAAGCCACTCCCAAAAAGACAAATACTACATGAATTCACTTACAGGAAGAATCTAAGTTAGTCAAATTCATAGAAACAAACTAGAATGGTGTTTGCCAAGAGTTTGGAGAGAAGGGGGGAGAAAAGAGGAGTTGGGTTTTTTGTTTTTTGTTTTTTTTTTCAGTTTATTTTCTAGCTGACAAATCAAAATGCAACTCATTAAGGCACTTGACCTTTCTAATTAGGTGTATTATCAAGGCAAATTTTTAACCACCATGGCACAGGTATACCTATGTAAAAAACCTGCACATTCTGCACATGTATCTCAGAAATTAAGTATAATAAAAGTGGAACTGTTTTTTAATGAGGTTAGAGTTTCAGTTTTGCAAGATGGAAATGTTCTGGAGATCCACAGCCCAATAATATGCAATTGCTTAACACTACTGAACAGTACACAGTAAAGATACTACATTTTACGTTATATCTTCTAATTTTTTTACGTGGAGAGAGAATTCAAATACCATGCTGACAGATGTTTTCCTGCAACATACAGTGAAAGGTGAATGAAAGGAACAACAAGCAGTCCAGGTGGAATAAAAGAAGTGGGTGGATGGAGGAGAGCTTGACAGGTAAATGTGTTAAATGACAGTCAACAGGGACAGAAAGTGAGAGATGCTGAGTAAGTACCAACATATACAGGGACCTGTAGTTCAAATGCCAGAATATCTACACTTATAAGAAATTTTAATGACTCAAAAATGCTTCTTCTTCAAAGATAGTACTTACTTCATTATCACTGTGTTATTTTTCCAAGACTACCATAGCAAAATACCGCAGACTGGTATTTTCTCACAGTCCTGGGGTAGAAGTCCAGGATCAAGGTGTCAACCAGTCTGCTTTCTCCTACAACTTCACTCCATGGCTTGCAGATGGACACCATCCCTCTGTGTCCTCACACAACCACCTCTTTATACACATGCATCTCTTAGGTCTCTGTATATCCTAATTCCCTCTTTTTATAAGACTGCCAGTCAAATTGAATTAGGATCCCACCATAAAAGTCCAGTCTAACTATATTTACCTGAAACTCCTTGTCTCCAAATAGTTATATTATGAAGCATACAAGTGGACAGGACGTCAATATATAAATTTGGGAGGGAAACAATTCAGTCCACAACAATCACATATTGAGTTGAGTTGACTTTCCTAGTTACTTATGCATGCTATGAATCACAGTAAATAAGAGACTATAATCCTTTTATGTTTTTGCATCACCATCCACTTATCCTTCCAACCATATTTTTGAGGCATTTACTATAACTTTTCACAGTTTCACATATTATACATTTCTAGATATCCAGTCTTTTTTGTTTGGTTGGCTGGTTGATAGGTAGGCTGTTTTATGTTTTACTCAGTAGCAGGAAAAAAACACCAAAAAGCAGGCCATCAAAGCCAAGTAAAACCTTGGAAGAACATCTTTATAATGCTGCAAGTTTAGTCCCAAGAGATTTTATAACATTGTAGGGCAGGTCTGAAAGCGAAACTTTTCCTCAAAAGGTTTTAATATTCTGCACTCTAGATTTACTCTAGACTGAGAAGTCTCTAAGTATTTTAAAATAAAATTAAAGAAAGTTATAAATATTTCATAACGTTTCTAAAAATATTCTAGATAAAAATGAAATTAAATTTGTTCCCTGGGGACTACATACGGTTTTTTCCCAGGTTCATTTTAAAGTCATTTCTGTAAGATCTTCAACAGTCATACATTTTCCCTTCTGAATTTTTACCTGATTTATATTCATAAGAAAACTATGTTCTTGCATGCACTGATTAAATTTCACTGCTGTCATCTGAAATCAGTAAATATTTATAACAAACTAGTTAAATAAGCAGCATTAACTGAATACACATACATTTTATTTTTTTTCCCATTTATTTATTTTATTGCATTTTAGGTTTTGGGGTACATGTGAAGAACATGCAAAATTATTGCATAGGAACATACGTGGCAATGTGATTTGCTGCCTTCCTCCCCATCACCTACATCTGGCATTTCTCCCCCTGCTATCCCTCCCCAGCTCCCCACCCCCCACCATCCCTCCCCTATTTCCCCCCAACTGACCCCAGTGTGTAGTGCTCCCCTCCCTGTGTCCATGTGCTCTCATCGTTCAACACCCGCCTATGAGTGAGAACATGCGGTGTTTGATCTTCTGCTCTTCTGTCAGTTTGCTGAGAATGATGGTTTCCAGGTTCATCCATGTCCCTACAAAGGACACGAACTCATCGTTTTTGATGGCTGCATAATATTCCATGGTGTATATGTGCCACATTTTCCCTATCCAGTCTATCGTCAATGGGCATTTGGGTTGGTTCCAGGTCCTTGCTATTGTAAACAGTGCTGCAATGAACATTCGTGTACACGTGTCCTTATAGTAGAAAGATTTGTAATCCTTTGGATATATACCCAGTAATGGGATTGCTGGGTCAAATGGAATTTCTATTTCTATGTCCTTGAGGAATCGCCACACTGTCTTCCACAATGGTTGAACTAATTTACACTCCCACCAACAGTGCAAAAGTGTTCCTATTTCTCCACATCCTCTCCAGCATCTGCTGTCTCCAGATTTTTTAATGTTCGCCATTCTTACTGGCGTGAGATGGTATCTCAATGTAGTTTTGATTTGCATTTCTCTGATGACCAGTGATGATGAGCATTTTTTCATATGTTTGTTGGCCTCACGTATGTCTTCTTTTGTAAAGTGTCTATTCATATCCTTTGCCCACTTTTGAAATTTTATTATTGACAAATTACAGATCAGGAGCTGTCTTTAATTCCAAGAGCCTAACTGATATGTTTAAGTGTATTTTAGTATGTGTGTTTATTTGCTGGTTTAGTTTCTTTTAATGAAAATTTACAGTATTGAGAAAAAACATAGCTTTCTCTAATTTATGAAGTGCTATATACTTAATATATGTGCTTTTCAGTAATATGAGATTGGGCATATCTTTTAATCAGTAAAATGGACAAATATGGGATAATAATTTAGAACAGTATCTAAATGGAGGAGAAAAGAAGATTGTTCAAGTTTACATAATATTTAACAGAACCATCTGGCATACTAAGAACATCTTTGTTCAGATAGATTTAATGTTTCTAACTATACTTTTAAAAGTATAATCAAATTCATAAAGTTTACACCCCAAATACTCTTCATAAAGGCCCAAGATTTTCTGTCTTTATCTTACAAATATTCATCTACACTGAATATTCTTTTAAACGTTACATATTACATATTTTTATTTGTAGATCAAAGTGTTGATTATCAAAGTGTTTGATAATTATCTCTCTAATACACCAATGACATCCTTAAATAAAGCTTACTACATTAAAAACCATTCTAGTTCAATGAGAATATCAGCTATCAAAATGAATATCATTAACATTTATATTCAGATGGAATCAGAATGTTAAATTTGAAATGGATTACTATACTATCAAACTCTTCGCCTTCTCTGAAAAGTCCAAAAAACAGGCAAAGCATAGTAATGGTAGGAATTTAAAATTATACATTAAGGAAATGTTGATGTTGACCCCAAAGTTGCTTTTTTTTAACTTTCTTGAAGAAACACAAGAATCACTATTTTATGACTCCCAACTTAGATTGGAACCCCACATCTATTAAAATAGCCTAAATTTTTTCCTATTAACGGTGTTAAGAGAAAAAAATAGCCTAAAATGGCAAGTGAAGGGGTAGGCAAGTTGGAGATAGGTTTTATTTAATAGTCAACTTCCAGCTAACATTTGGAACACTGATACCTTGTTGGGTCTTTATAACTAAGCAAGTATGAGCACACTGATACCAGGAAGCATTTCAGCCAGTCTGAAACTATGAGACGAGGATTTCAGGACAGCTAGAATAAGCTCTCATTCTCCGTGTAAGGCTTACATAAGGCAGATATTCTTATCTCAGAATTCCTTCTCCGCCACCTGACGCATTTCTTGACCATCTTTTCTTATCATTAATTGTATAGCCATATGAAATGTAAATTAATTTAATATCAGATTAGGAAAAAACGAAATGAAAATAGGGAGTCACATACAATGCATAACAAGATCAAACAGGAAACTTTTAGGTAGTTTTTGCCATTGCTTTCTTTCTTGAGTGAGGAGTTAAATGCATTCACAATTGATTTATGTGTTTCTATTTCACAACTGAAACATTACCAAGTCATCAATAATTCTGCCTTGGATCAGAAAGCTTCTCCTGCTGTCACTCCTATCTAATCTTATAATGAAAAAAAATATGGCACATTTATGGATAAAAGCTGGCTTTTTGACTGCATTGGATGGCTGGCAGGAACTGGAAATAAAACAAGCTATCCAACAACCACCTTACTAAGAAAGCAGGCTCTTTTTACAAGATTTATTCCTAAT